TCCCTGCTTCCTGGTGCCCCTTCCCAGCACCCAGGGAGCCCCCGCACATAAAGGCAGCAGTCAGCCCCAGCCAGCAGCCCACCTCCATCTCCTTGAGCACCGGATGGTCCTCGATCCCAGGGAAGAGCACCCGCATGGCATACGTCCGGTAGTCCAGGAATGGAATGCCAGCGCCATCCAGGTCATTGGTCAGCTCGTGGATGTCTGTCTGCAGCTCTGCAAAGGCTGCAGCCAGACAAGAGGTCCAGGTGGGTGCCCAGCCCGCCAGCCCTCCTACATTCGGAGTCGGCTTGCCCCTCGCCGGGGGCTGGGGGGTGACCCGAGGAAAACCCTGTGCTTGCCTATGCTCAGTTTCCCCAGGCCGCCCCCAGGGGTGAGCCCTCGGTCGCTGAGCTGCTGTTGGACTAACCAAGGCAAGAGCAGAGAGGCTGCTGCGGAGGTGCCTCCCTCTCTCGGGCGCCCAGGGGCAATGTAACCATGGGTGCCGGCCCCCTTTGCCACCCTGGGCACCTGCCACCTCCCTTTGCCACCCCAGGCACCTGCCACCTCCTGGAGCAGGGACAAGGCCAGGGTGGGAGCCCTCCACGCAGAGAAGCACACACACACACAGCTCGGGCCAGATGGCCCCCTACACGCCTACTCGCCCCAGCTCTGCTGAATTCTCGAAGGAAGGCAGGTGGGGCGGGCAGGCCCCACAGAACATTCCAGAGCCGTGAGGCTCTGTCTCCACTCCTGGGAGTCTGGTTACCTGCACCTGGCCAGCCTAGGGGCTCACACGTGTGCTACCAGATATGGGTGTCGTGGTTCAGTTCGGACAAGACAAACGGATGGTTGTCCTTGCCCCAGGAGGCCCTCACATCCCCTCTGGCCCACTCCAGCCACTGCCTCCTGCCTGGGCCCCCAACACCTGCCCGAGTCTGTCCACCTGGAGCTGAGGCGGCTCCTGGGACAAGGACCTTTCACAGTTTTAAGGCAGGCCAGGATCCCAGGCATAGTGGACACCCCTGCTTAAAAGACCACCCAGCAGCAGGCCTCTAAGGGAGCAGACCCCCTGCAGGGCTTCCAACCCATCCACGGCCCAGCTCCGTCTGCAGTCTGTATCCCCAGACCAGGAGACTCCTGCCATCTGCCTCCCAGACCTGCCGGAGTCTGCTCCTTAGCACCTGCGAGACACTCAAGGTCCCTCCCAGCACCCGAAACATCCAGGACCGCCAGTCACCATTCGTGTCACTCTGCTGCACTCACCCCGCGTGACAGCCCAGACCCGAGAGGCACAAGCGAGTGGTGGCTCAAGGACAGGGGACTGCCCTGGCTGGCCGGGGACACCCGGCCCTGAGGCACCACTGCACGCTGGCCAGGCTGCTGCCCGCAGCCCACACCCCCATGAGGCTCTGGCCACCAAAGCCCCCACAGCCCCCACCTCAGGGCTCGGCACTGGCAGGAGTGGTAGTGACTGCTAGAGGAACAAGCCCGGGCCTTGGGCACGCTGGTCTCCCACGGGACGCCTGCTGTTCCAGATGAAGACCATCACCCAGTCCACCGTCAGATTTCCACGTCTGCAGCCCCCCATCTGCCGGAGGCCTTCCCGCCCGCTGGGCTGACCCACCTGCCCTGGGGGGGCCCACCCCTTTCAGTTGGGGGCTGCGGGTACCAAGCTTGGGGGGAAGGTGCACATGACCAGGTGTGGGGATGTAAGCCTGCCTACCGGGGCCATCCTGTCACCACCAGCAGGGACTCCTGAGGATGGACTGTGCCCTGGACTCCCCTGCACGGAAGCCCACAGAGGGTGTCCCTGCCGAAGTCGCCTGAGCTAATGTCTGCCACTCATCCCCCAGGCTCGGGCAGACACGCCCCATCTCAGGAGGACAAGCACTCTGAGAACAGGGGCAGCCCAGACCCAGGTCTGCGCACCAAGAAGCTGAAAACAGGGCTCCCGCCTCGGTGCCTCGCAGACCGCCAGGGGAACACCTAGGCCAGCACGCTCTGCACGGACTGTCTGGGTCACCACCCAAGCACCTGGGCGACAGGCACCACCCCGTGTTCATTCTACAGAAAAAAAGCCTGAGGCGTGGAAGGGCGGTGCACCCGTCAGGGTCCTATGGCCACGCTGGGACACAAATGGGGCTCTCTGGCCAGAACCTGTGCCTCCAGCACCAGGCAGAAGCCCCCGGCCAGGCCCTGCCCACCTCCCTGGACTGGCGTGGTGACGTGAGAGGAGTCAGCAGTAGGCCACAGCCTTGGCAAGACCCCGGGCCCTGGCCCTGCCCCCCACCGCCGCGGCCCCAGCGGACCTTCCTTGCACTCGAGGGCCACGCGGGACTCCAGGTTGTCCATCTGGAGCTGCAGGCGCTTGAGGGTGCGGTCAGCGTCCCGGGACTTGCGCTTGTAGGCGATGAGCACAGCCACGATGACCAGCAGCAGGAGGCCCCCGCCCCCACCGATGCCCACGATAGCAGGCAGCGTCAGCAGGCTGTCCGAGTACACCTGCAGCACCCCCGGTGAGAACTCAAAGCCGCCGGCCCGAACCTGTGGGTGCAGGCCACTCAGGAGGCGCCTCGCCCAGTGGCAGCTCCATGGCTCCCAGGACCCCCCAGGCCCTCCTGGTCCAAGCGCTTGGCGCGGCGGGGGCACTGACACTCAGAGCGGGAGTCAGGCCCTCTGGGGGCGCCAGGGCTGGGCTCCCTCCAGGCAGTTTGGGCTCGCTCAGAGCAGGGGCTGCCTTGGGTGGGGCAGAGGCTGCAGGTCCCAGAAGACCGGAGGCAGCCAGGGCCTGTGGACGCACCGTGACCTTGTGCTGCCCGGTGAGGTTGGGCGACTCGCAGAGCAGCTGCGTCTCCGACACGGTGAGGGCGCAGGGCGTGGAGCCAATGAGCACCGTGTAGTTGAGCCGAGAGTTGCCGGGTGCTGGCGGCAGGAGGTTGCGGCCCTGCGGGGGCAGGTGGGTCGGCGTGAGCAGAGGCCTGGGCAGGTCCCCCAGGGGCCCCGCCCCTCCGAGGCAGCCACCTTGAGGATGAGGGGGGAGCTGGGCTTCAGCTCCAGCAGGCCAGTGGGGCTGAGCGGCTCCAGCACGGGGTCCGGGTAGTAGAGGAAGGAGGAGGCGTTGAGCACAAGCAGGGCCCGCACGTCGTCCATGACAAAGCCGAGCTCGTCCGGCCGCTCCCCCAGCTCGGGCGGGCTGCGGGAGGGGTTGTCCACTGACGGGGCCCGGCACACCATGGTGGTGTCGTTGTACACCAGGCAGCTCTGGGAACGCAGGATGAGGACACTGAGCCGGCTGCCCCCCTGAGGGCCCCCACCTGGCCAGGTGGGGCCAGCTTCCCTCCCTGTGGCCTCTAAGCACACGGCTATGGGGACATAGCCCAGCGAGGACTCACGTTCTCTCTCTCGACGCCTCCGTACTTGGCCCGGATGCGAGGTTCGCGGACAGTGGCCAGGTTGGTGCCTGTGACTGTCAGGAGCGTCCCTCCACTAAAGACGGGGGAGCTGGGAGTCACGGGTTGAAGTTCTGGGCCCTTGTGCCCCGGCCCAGCACAGACGGAGGGGCCAGACACACCACCCTGCTCCTCCGAGAGATGGCAGGCAGGCTAAGATCTCTCGGCACCACGACTGGTGGCAGAACCACATAAAGGGGAGGAGAGCCTGTGCAGCAGCCCTGTGCTTGCTGCAGGTCCTCGGCCACCTGGGATGGGGTCATGGGGCTCAGGGCAGAGGGGATGGGGGTTGTGGTGCTTGGACACCTGGGCCGAGGGTCGTGGGGCTCAGGCCAGGTGGATGGGGGGTCGTGGGGGTTGGGGGCCCAGCCAGGTGCCCACCTGTTGATGCTCCACTCGGGGTCAATCCTCAGGATGGTGGGGTCCTCGGTGTAGTTGTACTTGACCTCGGGGTTGGTGAGCTGAGCGCGGTTGATGCTGATGACGATAGAGGCACTGCCGGGGCTCTGCCCGGGCGGCGTCAGGCACCGGATCTCCCGGGAGTTCCTCCTGGAGAGGCCGGGGGGACAGTGAGGACGTGGTGCTAGAGCTCACCTGCCTGGACCTGCCTCCAGGTGGCTGACGACTGTTAGGGCCCCCTTTCCCATCATCTCCTCCGAGGGGCTGAGTGTGTGTCGGTACCCACCTGGACCCCAGCCTGGCCCCTCCCTGCACACTGCCCTGCTGGGCACCCAGGGGTCACCCACTGAGGGGCAGGTCCTACCTCCAGAGCTCACTCTCCTGGTGACCCCACCCCGACTCTGCCTGCTCACAGCGTCAGTGGGCAAACCTGTCCGTGCCCTGACATGCAAAAGACCAGACGGGCCAGGTCTCCGTGCAGCCCTGCAGCAGCCCTGTTAGTCCCAGGGGACGGCTGGCAGGACAGAGCTTCAGCGTCCTCGGGTGCCACAGCACCACAGTGAGCACCAGCTCCTGCGACACTGAGTCACCCACACGTGGCCCTAACCTTAACCCTGACCTCAAAATGGGCTAATCCCGGACCTGGGCTGTGAGCTGGCTGGGGCTGGGGATGCTGGCTCACCCCACAGGGCAGCCAGCCGGTCACCACCTGCACCTGGGTCTCCGTCCCTCCAGTTTCTACATCACAGTTGGGAGGCCCCGCAGCCGCCAGGCCCACTCGCGGCAGGCTGCAAACACCAATAATTAGTCTGATAACGGGTAATTACCGCAGGAAAATATTTAAAGGCCTGCTCCATTATCATCCCTAATCTAAAATTATCCACTTCAGGGCTCCCGGCTTTTGTTAAAATTCCCTTTTTCTCTCTTAAAATTTTTTAAATGCTTCTTATTGTGTGCCCAAGGAATCCCTCCACAACCCAGGTCCAGCGGCTGTGCCCGCCCCTTGGGCCAGGCTCCGCCCACCCTGCCCTTCCCACTCTGGTGGCAGCCTGTCTCCATGGTAACCTTCTCCGCCTCGGGTTTCCATAGTGATCACCCCAGCCAGGCTCTCCAGCAGCCCCTCTTGTTGCCCAGGCAACAGCAGGGGGCACGCAGCTTCTGAACCAACCACTACAGGGGGTGGCTGTGCGGGGTCCCCACTCCCGGTCCACACCCCGTACCAGGAGAAGGAGCAGGGCCGGCCGCCAACAGACACCGCCACGTCGCTGCCTGCGTTCAGATGGCTGCCTTCGATGCCAATCCACGTGCCCCCTGAAAGGGGCCCGCGGGCAGGGCTCACACGGTAGAAGGTTGGAGTCTAGGGGAAGGAAGGACTGGGTGGCTGGAGCTCCAGGGAAACACCGGTGTCCCTGCCCCCGCAAGCTCCCCAGCTGGCCCAGGCCTGTGCTCACAGGGTCTCAGACTCCGCCCGCAGGCAGGGCCCAGGGCGCCCAGGGAGCTGGTGTCAGGCCCTGCGGAGGAAGAGGGGCGGGGCGGGGCCCATCGTGGAGGACGCCCGCGGCCTGGGCCGGCCCCTGCAGGCCAGTCCCCAC